ACATAAATAAAACAACTGAGTAAATGTACGTATTTAAGACGAAAAAGGAGGAGGAAGGGGTTGAAGTGGAGAACTTACAAGTGGCAGAGCGGCTTGGGAGATGGTCATTTAATTTTATTTATTTATTGGTTATTTTCTTTTTTACATGTCCTACAGTCTCTGAAACATGAAATAAATGTGAAGACGAGTGCCTGTAAAACACTCCAGTGTCTCGACTGACCTGGAGCACCTTGGAATCCCCCCAGAAGAGTGAAGAGGGCTGGGGAAAGAGAGGTCTGGGCTTCCCTGCTCAAGCTGCTGGGACCTGACTCCTGATAAAGCAGGAGGATGGATGTTTAAAAAAAAATTTTTTTTTAAAAATCTGTCTGATACATCCATGCCCGCACAACAGGGGAAATCCATGTAATTTACTGACAATCCATTCTTGACATGTATGGAGGGTTGTTGTCTGAATCTGTTAATAAACAGACCTGAACTTTAACAAATGTTTAGCCTAGCTTGTATTCTGAATGAGTTGTAATCAGCATTTTTTTTAAACGCGCTTCACGTTGCTGTCATTTGATTTGTGTGTTCCCACGTGACTTGGTGACGTAGGTGCAAAGGGTCAATAGCCATTTGCAGAAAGTTACTGGCCCCTGTCAAAAGCAGCTAATCAGAGCCAGGGGGAATATCTTATCAGTGTGTCACACTTATGCATGCATTGTTCACACCCTTACCCTGCACAGCCTCATTTAAGCTCAAGATTGTCAGTGTGATGCAGCTGTGCTGATGTCGGAGAAAAAAACCTAATGTTAGAGAAACTGACAATTTATGAGAGTTCTGAAGGTGYCATTGCTGTTTATCTGCCATCATCTGTGGCCTTGCTTACTATCCTGCGCTGTGGGGGAGGAGCTGCGGAGCGAGGGTTGCACTGCAGCAGAGAGCAATGAGGAGAGACCTGTAAGATGATTTTTTTCAAAATTTTCAGGCTACGTCCACAGTTTTCTCAGAACTCCTGCAGCTTTAACACCTGTGGTGAAGAGATGTTTTGTAAGACTCATCGCTGACTTTATCAAAGCCAGTCTTACTCCCATCTTTGATCCTCATCCATTTGCTTACAAAGAAATTAACAGAGGATCACGTAACCACGGCCCTTCACTTGGCCCTGAGCAAAGTCAGAACCCCAGGTGTTGCCCATGCAGCGTGCCCATGCTGTTGAGCACAGCTCAGCATTTATTAATATTTTCTAGGACCTATGAGTAAATAGGCTTTCAAATGTATTTTTTCACCCATTATTTATGCATAAAACAAAGATTTCCGTACAAATTGTCCACAGCCTGAACGGGATCTTACTGTTCCGCCCAGCGCTGCATCCCCACAGGGTTGTGTGCTGAGTCTTGACAAAAATGATCCTCATGGATGGCTCACATCCAGGTCACAAACTGTTCTCTCTTCTGCTCTCCGGAAGGACATACAGAAGCTTCACAAACTGAAAAAAAAAAACTGTTTTTACCTGTAGGCTGTCAGGCTTTTAAATTCAGATTTTTAAATGCAAATAACTGCCACAATATAAACTATATATTGTTGGCAATATTTTAAAATTTCTAATACTTTTTAAACCATTTATCTGAATGAGTGAAATGCTGCTTGTTTTTGTGCCTGATTTTAAAAACATATATGTTTATGGCTTTTTGTGGCTAAATCCTGTATTGCAGACTGTTCTGGTACTTAGTTTTTACTTGCGCTCAATAAAACTCACCATGCCGATCTTTGTTTCCACATTATGTTACAAGTTATTTATTCTTCTTTGCATCCAGTTTGAAAGCATCGACATGATTTCTTGGAGCTCCAGACTAAGCACAGCAGAAAACTGTTTGCTCCTCCTTGTCGCAACACCTGAACAGAATCCCACTTAACTTTAAATAGCCCCATCCCTCACCTGTCAATTAGTATACAAACAGAAATACAACCCCTAGTGGTGATAAAAAAATCAAAACAAGATATTTGGCTTCTACAGTGGCAGTGCTTCCAAATGTCACTGTAAGTACACTCTGACAATAAAGACTTTTTATTCAAACCTGTCCAGAATCAGCACCAGAGACTTTCTGATCTTTTTCTGTTTCCTTTTTTTCCATCAGCTTCAGCACTGATGTTTGCAGCATCATTCTCAACATTCATTGTCTCTTTGAGTATTCTCTGTCTGACTCCATCAGCTGCCTCTGTTGCCACCATAACAATCATCTGATGGAGGGGTGTCATTAATTCAGCCCACTCTTCAGTTAGTTTGGAAGGACAAGTTGCCCTCCTGAGCCTAACATCCCCCAAGTTCAAAACACTTCATGTTTGCTGACATGCATCATTTGTTTTACCTTGAATGTTGATGATGGAAAGTTCATCAACCTGTCTCCTAAAAGACTGAAAACCTTTAAGCTTGTCACTTTCACATCATAAACCTGCAGATCAGAAACTCTAACATTGTTGCCAAAGTGTTGGAGTTCTTGCCCCAACACTGTATTGTGAAAGTGGGGAAACCGGAGAAACCTGCAGGTCCTCACCATTCAGTAAGACACCAACTTGCAATTAATTTCTTTCACAAAACTCATTTCTTTAAGGAAAACAATAATATTCTTATTCACTTACACCAGATTGATAACGATAACTTCTTTGCAGTTTTTTTCTCATTGCAACCACTTTTTCCTGCTAATGTTACGACTTTCTTTTGTGGTAATATTGCATCTGTATTCTGCTAATTAGGGCCAGAGTGCTCTGAAACAGTGGAAGGCCATATATAGTGGTGACTGATCTACAAGACTGAAGTCCACTCTCAGCAAGGAGAACACCATTCTATCTTTAAGAAGCTGTTTCACAAAACTGCTCTGTGAAATAACCACAAAGACCAGTCCATCTTTATGCTTCCTCTGGCCTTTCATAAATCCCAGATAGAGCCAGCCATGTTCTGTACAAAGGTGAGAATTCAGAAATGAATCATCACACCATGTCAGCTGCCTTAACGTGGAGAACAGCACATTAAATGTGAGATTGAACATCTCATTTTAAATGACAAATTAACTCAGTTTAGTTAGTCTCTTTGATTTGATTCCTAAATATCTAAAAAGAATGCAAAGCTGATGTGTTTCATCATCAATCCTCCCTTGGTAATAAACTTGTTTGTTGATCATATTTCACCACTTCATCACATTATAGGACCACAAAGCCAGCATATCTTTTCATATGATCATTTTTACTGCGTTACTACCTCGCTTCGCGGCACAAAGAAACATCAAGCGTGGGTTCACTTCAACCCATTTTCTGACTAAGTCCATTCAGAAATCACACTGACTTTAAGTATTTTCTGAAGGAGCCACAGGAGGATCTCTGAGACACACATGCAACTAACTGTTAATGAGACTAATAGGGCAGCAGTGTCTGAGAGGTTAGGGGAGTGGTTCCTCTAATGTTCCTCTAATAAAGTGTTTGATTCCACCGCTATTGTCACATGTTGAAGTGTCATTGGGAAACACACTGAAACACACTGAACCCCCACTGCCTCTAATGTGTTTCCCATCAGGGCATGAGTGTGATTTAAAGCATTTTTAAGTCTCTATAGATTGATTTATCTGTATTAGCTGTGTGGCAAGATCTAGTAGAGCCTTGAATGAATGTGAGTGTGGATGGGTAAATGAGGGCACAGTAGTGTAAAGCACTTTGAGTATCCTGGTTGGATAGAAAGGCTCTTTATAAGTACAGGCCATTTACCATTACCATTTACCTGTTATGATTATGGCCACAGTCATGTTATCACTATCTTTTTTTACTCATGTAAAGTCAAGTTCACAGCCGTCATTCAGTTCTTGTCTCAGTCTGCTCCTGCTCACTTCCCCTCCCATCACAGATCCCAGTATTCAGCTTATTCGTCTCACCTGTGCCACCCAGTATTTAAATCAGCCACTCACCTCTGTCCGACGCCAGATTATCCTCAGCCCGCCTGTGGTTCTCCGGCATTCCAAGTTCATGCTGCGTTATCGCCTTGTGATCTCGACCCTGTTTATGACTCCTGGTTCTACGATACTCGCCTTTGCCTGTCGGATTATTACAGTCATCTGTCTCACCCGTAAAAACCCACGCCTTGCTCCTCGGACTCCTGCTCCTTGTCTCACCCCCGATCGGACCATCTGACCTCCCGGATCTCGATCCTCGCCTGTACCACGGATTATCGGAACTTGCCTGCTCTAATCGGTCTGGATGAATTGTCGGAACTACCGTTTACCCACATCTGTACCGGAACTCCGCTCTTGCCTCTCGGACCCAAACAAATCAACCAATCTAACGGTGACGTCACCGCACCATGTTGGAATGCAGACTCCTCACTCAAGGTTTTTATCTGGATTCCTTCAACTGGAAACAGGTTAGTGGCTTTAGTTCATTGGAAGATTCTCCTATCTCATTCTGCCACTAATCTGAATATCCTGTTTAGATCTGATGAGCATCTGGTCCAAGCAGTTCCTGAGTCACTCTCCTTTGCACAATAAACTTTGTAAAGCTTTGTCTTGGGCCGGTGTTAATTCAGAACTCAAACCTCACTTCATATCATTACCAACAGTTTGTCAAACGGGTATAAAGAAGCAGGTGTTCTGGAGCGGGGTAAAGTGTGTTTTATTTTCTTTTTCATTTAGTTGGCAGCACAACAGTCAGTGGTTAAACTGATGCTTCACAGTAAGAAGGTCCTGGGTTCAATCCCTGGTTTGGACCTAGGGTCTTTCCATTCAGAGTTTGCATGCTCTCTTGTTTGAATGGGTTTTCCCCAGATATTCCTGTTTCCTCCTACAGATCAAAAATGTGCACAATAGTTTGCCTTCAGTCCCAGGCCTGCCTGGCAAAAGATCTGATCTCAACATAGACTTAAATATAAAGATCACAAGACTGAGTCCCACCCATACCGTGCACTGGTAGCGTCTGTGACAGCATGGAGGAGCAGAAACAGACCAAACAGGGCAACAGCTCACAAAAACTAATAGATAAACAGCAAGCTGAACCAGATTTGTTTCACAGATTATCTGTCATGTTTTTACAATAAATTAATAATTATGTTAATTTCATTCAACAATCATGTAAAACAGCAGATTTATACCAGAAAAATATATAATTTATAAGTAACAATGATCTNGTATTGTTTTGTTGTATGTAATGTTTTGTTTTTAAAAATGAAATGAATAAATACTATAAACTAAACAAAAAGATCTGTGACAGGGTCACAGATCTTTTACATCGAAACATTTTACATCGAAAAGGAACAGAGGGTAGAATTTATAACCCACACATTTTATGATGTAGGTCGAAACCGAGCTTCCTCTTCTTGAAAGACCAGCATCCACCGCTGTCTCCCACAGACCAAAAACATGAATGGTAGATTTATTGGAAACTGTAAAGTGCTTTGTATCGTCATCTTTGCATTTTTATATTTGACAGAATTTTTGCTCTGCACACGTGAGACAGACCGAAGCGGACCAGAGGTAGTGCTGGACAATAATTCAATATGATACATAGGGAAGCTGCTGAGTTTTCTCATGTGAGCTCAGGGTAAAGTTCTCCGTGACTGTTGCCTGCTGAGGTTCTGCTTGCCACCACAACTCCTACGTCGCTGCTTTTTCCTCTCTGGAGGGCGGGAGGACCGGTTAGGTCACCCTGCAGGAGCAGGGTTACTACCCCAATGCTTTTGACTATATGGTCCCCACTGTTGGGATGTTGGTTCAGACAACTGGAACCTGGATCCCGTGTAGTTTCCACTGTGGCCCCTCCCTGTCAAGACTGCAAAGTCCTGATAAGCCGGCGGCAGCTGACGTGGTGCCGCTTTGAGCAGGAGGAAGCAGCAGAATGGCTCAGTGGTTAGCACTGTTGCCTCACAGCAAGAAGGTCCTGAGTTTGATGCAGAGTTCGGACCTGCGGTCTTTCTATGCGGAGTTTGCATGTTCTCCTCGTGTTTATGTGGGTTTTCTCTGGGTACTCTGGTTTCCCCTACACCCCAAAAATATGTACAATAGGTTGCCTTCAGGCCCAAGCTACCCTTGCAAAAGAGATTTGTGATCTCAATGGGATTTGCCTGATTAAATAATGGTAAAAAATAATAAATAAAGGAGACAAAAGTCAACCCCTCACCCTGCTTCTTCTTCATGTTGTTAGCTTGCTGAATGCCTGTGACTACCTCTCCAAACAGGCCCTTAGCCCACAATGGGTTGAATGGGAAATTCATGATGGTTTGTTTGTGCTGATCTGGCAAGTTGAACAGATTAAGCCAGAGTGATCTTTCTCCCACTCCTGCTAAGCCCATAACACATCCACAGCCCTGCACCCCACCTCTGGAGGATGAGATCTGTCACAATGGAGATCTATTCCCAAATTGCTGGACTTGGGGTGCCCTTATCTAAAAAGACACCCATATCCTGAAACAGCTCTGCTTGGTAGGCTGAAAGGAGTGTGACATGTTCAGATTTGTTATGGACTCCATTTTGCCCAGGAGTGCGGGTCCTGCTGCTGTCAGAGTATGTCGAAGGTTGGGATGGAGATGAAAAGCGACTGACTGTTCCACCATTGGGGGATCTGTGAGCCACAGAGCTTTGCATGAGTTATTTCTAGCCCTGAGTAACCCTTGACGGGCACTCTGTGGTAAAAAGGTTTGTCCCAATACAGCCTCATCTCCTTTGTGCACACAGGAACAGGACTGCTACTCCAGCATTGATCCTGATACGATGTTTAGCTTTTATCTTATCCTCATTTTCCATTTTCTGTCCAAAATCTAGAAACGTGCTTTTGCCACTCAGATCAAAGCCCAATCACATCATCCTGACTCCCCACCTGTACATCGAAGTTTGACATTTTTAATTTGAATGTGGATGACAGAAAGCTTTAATTTTATTGGTTAAATTGCATTGTTATCAGATTCAGCAAAAGTAAAAACTGAAAGAATAAGTAGATGGTCTGTCTGCTCTCACCAAGATGTTTTTGAGGTTTGGAGGTTTTCTAAACCACAATCCTGGTTGGATTATTCAAATTTTGATTTAGACCAGGATCTGTGGCAGAGCTGATGTGAACAATCAAACTGAGAAATTAAAAAAAAGTCCTTTCAGAGGTGTAAGATATGATTGTCTATAAAACAGTGAGTTTCTATCTGCATTTTCTGCAACATCTGAAAACTGCTGAACTAACCCACATTATGAGTGATGAGTAAGCAAAGAAAACGGAGAGGCAACAGGTCCAGGAGAGAAACCAAGACATTTCTCTCCCCAATAACACTTTACAGCTTGTCCTGGGGGACCCCGAGGAATTCCCAGGCCAGAGAAGATACATAATCCTTCCAGTTTGTCCAGGGGACCCCGAGGAGTTCCCAGACCAGAGAAGATATATAATCCCTCCAGTSAGTTGGAATGCTGTGACAACTGCCAACAGATGCTCAGGCAGAGAACTGCTTCTTCTTTAATGGAGAGTGGCAGCCAATATAACGGTGCGTTAACGCCATCTAGCATTAGAGTGTGAGACAGAGCTATCTATACATATACTGTATGTATTATATACATGTATACTCTATATATAGCATCCTATTTTACAGATACTTCTTCTATATACTGGTAGTTTTGACAGAAGTGTTTGGGGTGTTTATTTTTGTTAAATGACACAACACCTATTTGTTCCACCATTTCTGACTAATCTATGTCTGTTAGACGTAAACGATTTTAGTGACACCAGAGAGTTGGTAACAAGTTGCTTTTTTGGAGTGTTTGGTGCTCATGAAAAGAGATGGAAGCAACAACACTAAATGTTTGACTCCCACTGGAACACAAGCCTGTTATTAGAGCTCTATACCACTGGGCTGAACATGTCATAAAATGAGTGGAGCAAAGTAAAAAAAAAATCCACATATCAAAAAAGATCAGACTTRTGAATCAAAATGCTTATATTTTGTTCAGAGAAAACCATTTATATCAATGAGAAAACCTAACTTTAAAACAAGTAGAAGGTTGGAATTTCTGGTTTTTAATACTTAAAAATGAAACAAATGTTATGAAGGGCTTGGTAGGTTAGAACCCCAAGTGCAGAACTGAAATGATCTTGGCAAAAATGGTGCAAATGGCTTTATTAAACAAATCAACAAGTTGGTGTGGCAGCAAACAAGAGACTTAGGCTTGGCTTGAGACAATGACATGAACAGGAACAACAAAGCTCTGACACAGACTGAGGACACAAGACAATATAAAGGGGGACTAATTAGCTAAAACAAGAAACACCTGGGAGAGAAACATGAGGAGCAGGTGAGAGTGGGTGGGGCTRGAGCAAAGACAGGCAGGAGGAAGAAAACAGAAATACAGGACAGAAAACCAGAAGAGAGACCAAAATAAAAACACCCATGCAGACAGATCATGAAAATAAAACCTGATCTCCAGTAAAATTCTTTGTAAGTCACACTTCATGCTTCATACATGTAACTTTAACTCAAAATTCTTCTTCTTTTATGAACAAGGCTGTCAAAAACCCTATTTCAGCTTGTATTAGAGTTGTTTAGAAGTTTGCAACTTCACACTTTTCTGAAGAAAAAAAAACTCCTCAGATGATTAGAAACACTTTCAAATAAATAACGTCCAGTTACTTTGTTTTCAAAACTCTTTAAAAGACTTTCCTGACCAGCACATGGAACAAAGCTCTATTCAAAGTAAATTTGGTGCCAAACTTATCAATTATAAAACTAAGGTTATTTGAAGCAATAGTCCATTGCATTTGGGTAAGCATGGCATGTTCCAAGTTTCCCAAGAAAGGTGGACATGGAAAACTGGCAGAATAAAGAAGAATCAACAATTTTTTAGATAAATTGGAAAATACATTTTGTTTTATTTTAGTAAGTATTTTTTAATCCTGAGTTCAGTGAATCACCTTAGAACTGCATGCTTTTTTGTGGCTCTTTCTATTCATATTTTAAAAAATGTGTTTTCCAAATCCCACCCTCAAATTTGTTTTCATACATTCAGGATGTTTTGTATTTTTTTTTAATGAAGTGAACATTTAGTTTGGAATATGGGTATTYTGAATTCTGTCTGGTGGCTTGACCAATCATAATAAATGGAACTTAGACTAATCGAAGTGTCTTTGTGGACTAGGGATGCTACCGAAAACCGGTATTTTTTTTTTTTTTCAGTATCGGTTCCTCATGATGAATTTTGACTGGATCGATAAGCTCCAGAATTAACTATATCATTAACGGTACAGGAAAAGTGCGGACACGGCACATGCTGTGTTGTTTAGAACAAGCTCTTTTTTCCTCTCTCCACTCTCACAGCCTGCTTCCTCTGAGCTCTCCTCAACACGAAGGGCAGGGGCTGCAAGCAACACATAGCGTCGATGTTACCCACCCGCATGTGCAGAAAAARACGTGACGTCTCATTCATTCAGCTCGGTGTTTACAGAAGTAGCCAMTGGAAGCTAATTTTTAGCATGTTCATTCTGAAGTTGCTGCGCAGTCCGARTCGATTAAATAATTATCTGACCTGCTTGTTAAGTTCAGTGTTTGTATCTGAACCTGCCTCTGACCRGTTGCTTCGGTGCAGCATTTTATTTTTGGAACGAAGTGTCATGTTTAAACTAAAGTATTCATCTAGTAACTTTAGCATTGATGCTATCCGCGACCGCTCGACATTACTATCATATTTTTCWATGGATTATCAGTCACCAAGGACATGGAAAATTAAAAGAAAAAAGACCAAGCAACTGAACTTCTGTTCTGTATCTGAAGACGTGTTCTGAAGACAAGATTTACATCATGACTCGAGGTTAGTTTAGTTAAATGCAAATTAAAGAATAAGTGGCTTTATTGTGCACAAACTGAGCACATTTCCTCACTCTGCTGTTGTCTTTTGTCTCGCTTCTCTACATG